TGGTAGTGGTACGGTGAAGAGAGAGACGGGCGAATACGGATCTGAGAAGCGGCTAGAAAAACCAGTCTTCTCCGACGAATCTTCTTTTCTTCTCTGACTCTTCTTCTTCTCTCACATCTAGATTTACAGACCAAATATACTAAAGCATAAGAGATGCATGACGATGTAAGAATCACTCGTTCACAATACAAAAAGTGAGAGAGATAAGATCTGGAACTGTGAGAGACTTGCAAAGGAAAGATAAGAGGAGAAGGAGGCGGAGAAGAGGAGAAGGAGGCGGAGAAGAGAGAAAGAAGAAAAGAAATAAGAAATAAAAAAAAGTTTAACTACATCCGGTGGATGATTTTTAGTCAATGGTTGTGATCTAACCAGGGGTGATCTTTGCCCTTCTTTATTAGCCAATGAGAGGAGAGTTCATCACCAAGATTAAGGTTTACCAATGGTGGAGATTAAATGTTGCTTATCCCCACCAATTTTCAATAGCCAATGAGTGTTTTCCTTATTTTCTATCTTTTTTTTGCTATATCATATTATCTTATGGATAATGTTTTAAGAAATTTAGTTAGTATTTTATTTTATTTTTTTAAGGTAAAAGATGTAAAATTGAACGTTTTCGTGGTTTTATTAAAGAGTTTAGAGTTTGAAATATAGAATCAAAAGGTTTTAGGATAAGAACTGAAATTCAAGTTTAAAAAAAGAAATTTGAGCTTTATGCTTTAGATATGATGTAATGTTAGGATATAGATTAAAAGTTGTAAGAGATTCAATTCAAAAAAAAGGATGAGTTATATTGTTTGAAGTATGTGGTATGTGGTTTAAGTTTAGGGTTTCGTGTGTTAGATACATGGTATGAGGTTAAAGTTTTAAAATACGAAAAGTTATAAATAAGTGTTGGATATTAGGGTTTGAAGTTAAAATTGAAGTTAATTTTTAAATAATATTAGAATTTAGAGTTTGTTTGTTAAAGTTTAGGGTTTAAAAGTTAGTTTAGGGTTTAAAGATTCAAAAATCCAAACATAGCGTTTTAGTTAGTTTTGCAATTAAATCATAAGTTTCTATAGCGTTTTTAAGTATACCACTCTATCATAGCGTTTCTGAAAATACAAACGTTATCTTAAAAACACGGGTATATCAATCATAGCACAAACGTAAAAAATGCTATCCTCGTCCGCTATTAAAACGCATTTTTCTTGTAGTGATATGCTTTATCCTCTTCATTCCCATTCTACCACTGTTCTTAGCTTGATCATGATCAGACCCACTAGCTTCTTCAATATTTTTATTATTGTCTTCCTCCATAGATTCATCAGGTGTAAAAGCTTTAGATTTTGTTACAAACCTTAGCATGGAGCCAGCCATTGAATTTGTTAATGCTTCTTGCCTCTTCTTTTTCCTTATTTTTTCGCATCTCCACCTCAATTTTATTCTCTTTGAAGACATTGAACTACAAAAAGAAATTTGTAAATAATATATCGTTATGCAAACGTAATATACAGGCTCACATAATCTCTTATATACTACAACACAAGTCACTTGACTAATCATATTGTGACATTTGGCAAAATTTAAAAAATTCAAAATAAAAACAATTAGAATTTCTCTTTTTGATCTCCTATTTATATGCAATCCAAATCTTCAACCATCTAATTTCCATTTTTTTCTCTGAATTTCAATCCCACGTTACTTTATAGAGAAAATTGGAAAAAAGGGACACCTTGAACTATGATTGGGAAACCTAAGATTTCTACAAGATTATTTGGTAAACTAAGACTTATATTTTTTAAATACCATTATACCCCCTAATTAACATAATTATAACTGAATTTCGTAATATTAAAACAAAAGAAAAAAAGTAGAAAAAGTTAAAAAAATATTACACGTTAAAGGATAAAACACGGCGTTTTATCATTTATCCTAATTTCACACTCTCTCTTCTTCCCCGACGAACCTTCAGTGGCGATAATGGAGATTTAGGGTAAATCTCCATTGTTTCTCCTCTTACTCGTTTATCATCGATTTCTTCTCTCTAATCTTCTTTTCTCCCTTATTCTCTTTGTTCTCAGGGATAAATCGAGTAGATTTGTTCTTCCAATCAGATTTCGTTCATCCGATCTCACTAGGTTTGCGATTCTCTTAACCCTAGATTTCTTAAATCCGATTTGGTTTATTTAATAAACCCTAATTACTTGTTTGGTTGATTAAGCTTCTAATCGATTCATATTGAGTCATGCATGTTAACAATTTTGACCTGATTTGGTATATTTGTTAGACCCGATTTGGTTTATTTAATAAACCCTAATTACTTGTTTGGTTGATTAAGCTTCTAATCGATTCATATTAAGTCATGCATGTTAACAATTTTGACCCGATTTGGTATATTTGTTAGACCCGATTTGGTTTATTTGCTAAATTAAAAATTACTTGCTTGGGTTGATTAAGATTTTGGCGTAACTAAAAATCTTAGTCATGTATGTTAATATTTTTTATTTGTATTTGTAGAATATGTATTTAGATTTGCTTGAAAGAGGGAAAATTTGACAACGATTTGGTTCATGTTAAACATATAGTAATAGGTGGTTCATGTTAAACATATAGTAAACGACTTGGTAGTGTTGAAATCTTAGTTTTTGGTTCATGTTAAACGATTTGGTTCATGTTAAACATATAGTAATAGGTGGTTCATGTTAAACATATAGTAAACAACTTGGTAGTGTTGAGAGCTTAGTTTTTGTCGATGTCTGAATGTAATGTTGTTCTGTGAAATCTTTGTAATAGGTGGAATATGTGTTTAACACTAGGCAGATTGTACAAGTAAAACTACATTGTTGTTTATTTCTTTGTTTGTGCTCTTATTACATTATTTTATTTTTGATTGTAGGTATGTCTGGGGAGTTACCAAAGCGGCTTATTGAGGCGGGTGAGGAGACCCAAGTGACTCAGATCAATAACAACTTCAGGATGGTATGTTACATGGATAGGTTGAAGGGATGGCTGCCAAAGGAGTTGAAAGAAGTGAAGAAAGATCCGTTATTTGCTCAGATTTTTAAGCTCTACGAGAACGGTTTGGGTTACTCCACGAGAGTGATACACAGCTTCTTGTGTAGGGAGCTGGTGACTTACAAAGACTATGAGCTATGGTTTACCTTTGCACGGAGACCACTCCGGTTTTCGTTGTTAGAATTTCACGCAGTAACCGGGCTTCAGTGCAATACTAATCTCTCACGTAAGGAGTTGGTTGAATGGGAAGATGATGGTGGTTTTTGGAGCACAGTGGTGAGGAGAAAACAGGGAGTTTGTATGTTGGGCCTGTGGAAGAATCACCAGCAAGATGTTAAGAAGTGGAGTAATGCTGATCGAATCAGACTCGTGTATTTGTGCATCATTGTTACTATGGTTTGCGGCCGAGATGAGAAGGCTAATATTCCTGATATATGGTGTTTTTAGCATATTCTAACAATGTTTTCTAAAGTGTTTTTGAGTCTTTATCGAGTCTTTTTAGTCCTTTTTAAGTCATTATAGGTATGGAGTTGCTTTGGATGGAAGATGGACCAGTTGGAGAAAAAGAGTGCAATCTGGGAATTTTCACGCGGAACAGTCTGCAAACTGTTCCCGAGTGAGCGGAGCAGCCTGAAGCGCCTGTTCCTGCGGCAGCGATTTTTAAGGGAAATACAACATATTTCGGGATTTGCCATAATTCTCCTATTTTTCTCTCCCAGCCGCCAGCAGCCTCCATATATCTTCTTTTCCTATTTTCTACATTGTACGCTACTTTTTACCAGAGAAACAACTCTAGAGCTTTTGGATTATTGTGATTTTACTACTTTGTAAAGGGAGAAGACTTTCTCTCTCGATTTAGAGAAGAACCCTCTGAACCCTATCTTATTTATCTATTGATTCTGCAATGTTTTCTTCATCCATTATCTCTGTGTTTTCTCTGTTCATGGCTGAGTAGTCAGCTTGCTTAGTCTAGGGTGTTAAGGTGTTAGATCCATGAGCTAAATACAAATAAGGTTCATTATTTGATTGTCTCCATTCATGTTTATACTTATTGCCTGCATTAAACTAGCTAATTAATGCTTGAACCTAGGTTTAATCTAATCATCAAAAGTGTTTTAGGTTGCTAGAAATAACTTGAATGGGCAGTTCGTCCCTAACCAGCGAAAGTAGATGTTAGGGCTTGCTGTGAACTTATCGAATCTGATCTTAATGTTTGCTTTCATGTTTTAGTCCAAACGAGAGTTTAGGTATTAAGGCTGATTGTTAAAAGGGGAGATACCACGAGAGTGGGTCAATCTTTATTTGTCTTTTGAGTTCTAGACTTGTGCTTAATTAAACCTTGAATAGATGTTTGGCTCATGATCGTTTGACATCCAATCCTTCACCCTAGGCTAGCATTCTCTTTAATCTGAAACCCAAATCAATTCTTGTTACTTGCTTTTTATGCTTTCTTTATTTTAAAACCCCATATTGTTTTAGCTTAATATTGATCCTATAAAAATAAAGTGTAATATTTGGTCTCTGTGGATTCGATCCTCAAGTACTACATCGAACCTCTTATTTGAGAGAGTAGCTTGAAGGTTAATTTGAGCATATCAATTCCCATCAAGTATGTGAAGCTGGTCATGGATCTTGAGAAGTTTCGAAACTATCCTTGGGGAGTTGCTGCTTTTGACCTTCTATGCGAGTCAATAGGTAAAACTCGTGAGAAACTGAAGGAGAAGACTACCAGTTACATGTTAGATGGCTTCTCCTACGCCTTTCAGATTTGGGCCATGGAAGCAATACCAAAGATTCGAAAGCTCTGTGGAAGAAAACTCAACAAAAATTTTATGAACGTTCCTAGATGTGTAAACTGGAGAGGAGCTGCAAAGATTTCATACGGGGAGATCCTCCAGTTGGAGAACATCTTTATACCCGAGGTAAATATTTCTATTTAAGATGGCTACATCCGATTTGATATGAGTTTGTGGTATGTAACATTGTTTACCTTTCTTGTGCAGGATGTCATCTATCCATACATCTCATGGGGAGGCAATTGTGTAGTAATTGAAAGTGATGAATTCTACAGAGCTGATGAGGTGGAGGATGATAGAATCAAGGTTGTCATGAGGATGATAGCCGCTAAGCATGACTTCAGTGACCATATTTGGGAGTTCGAAGAGACACCAGAATTTTCTTTTGGGGTTAATGACAAGCAAGAAGAGGCTGATGGAGTATCTGAGGATGATGGAGTATTAGGGAATGATGAAGGATCCAAAACTGATGAAGATGCTCCCAAGAATGATAAAGAAGATGGGAGTGATGAAGAGTTTCAAACTCCAAGAGGAACAGCGAACACAAGCTCTGGAGGTAGAAAGGGAAAGAAGAGGCTCCCGGATCGTGGAATGGAAAAAGGGAAGCAAAAGGTTCTCTCCACTAGACCAAAAGGTCCTGCTCCGTTTAGTGAGGATATGAAGAGCTTTGTGGCGAATTTGTTACAGCAGAACTTTTCGGCAATGGAAGAAAGGATACATAAACAGATGGGTGAAAGGTTTGAGAAAATGCATTCTGAGCTTAAAGATTCCTTTAAGGATGCAGCCGTGGAAGTTGAGCCATCTTCTAGCAAGCCATCTGCTACCAAGCCATCTTCCACCCATGGAAGTTGAGCCATCTTAAGAAAAGTTCCATCAACAACAATCACCTTGCGAATGCCATTGTAGAATCCTCTAACTGATTGCCCAAACGAGAGAAACAGATACTTGAATCTCCCTTCCTTAGTGGTTTCATAGTGAGTATGCGTACCAGGATTAGCTTCTTTAAGCATATACAAATATTTTGGTATTTTTGCATAACTTTGATCAGGTGTACCTCTAGCTGCTGCAATTGCAAACTCACGAGCTTCCCAGGCGTGCCAATAACTAATCTCACAACTATGCTCCAGGCGCATATACTGGACTATATCATTTGCTTTTGGTCTTTCATGGGGATCCTCAAATCTATGTTGTATCAAAGTCCCAATTGTTCTTGCTGACGCCTTTTTCCCAAATTTGCTTCTCTTAGAGGGTGCACATGAATGAAGTGCCACACACTTGTTGATCATGAAGTATGTAGACCCATCTAGACATTGCGCACGCACAGTCCAATTACATATTGAATCTTTACATCGAATATACCACCATTTTCTCGTCGATTTGAGAACAATCGAAATTATTGTTCATCGCCCAAATTTCAGCTGTGGCCTTTAGGACAGCTTTACTTCTGAATATTTGATCCTTCGTCACAAAAATTTCTCTTTCATTCCTTTCTTGTGACATTACCAGTTGGCCAACGCGTTTACTCACTTTCTTACAGTAAAAGTCCAGAAAACCTTTGTTCTTTTGACTCATTATGTATTGCAAAGAATGAGGACCAATTTCTTGAGAAACTTAAAAAAGTAATTCAGATATGTACATATCTTTCTTTTGTTTTCAAAATTAAGCAGGCATCACCTATTTTGCCATCTTTTCAACACTAACAAAGGCACTTCCTTATATAGTTGTATCTAATATAGCCAATAAATTTTTTTCTGTTTTTAAATTTCACATTGATTTAATGTTTTACTTATCTTTCTCCAGAGGATGCTCAATATATCATCATAAACTCTTCCTGATCGCAGCAACAATTTCTGTAATGCTTCGAACCTAATGCTCCTATAACACATTTATACTGAAGACAGCAAACATACATTAATTTTTTGACATTGTTGATCAAATTAAACACTAACCTGTTTTGATCGTGGTCCCGAACAAACTTCAAGTCTCCATTACAAAGATTGCAAACACCTGATAAGATTTACTTGATTACAGCATATATCATTTCACAGATATAGCACTTTCACTACGCCTGTTTTGAGTGATTATAGCATCTGTTAAATTTTATAGATTTAGAGGAAGTGAGAAAAGAGAAAAAAATTTGGAGAAAAAAGAAGATCATGTGTAGTGGAATATTTGAAAAACTGTTGTCTACCGATTTTTTTATATTATCTTTTTAATTGATTTTATTTTTAGTTTTGAATACATAAATTATGTGGTAGAATTTAATTGGTAAAATGGTTTGTGATTTAGTATACTATAAGAATATATAAGACAGCAAACATACATTAAAATTTTGACATTGTTGATCAAATTAAACACTAATCTGTTTTGATCATGATCTTGAACAAACTTCAAGTCTCCATTACAAAGATTGCAAACACCTAATAAGATTTCCTTGATTACAGCCTATATCATTTCACAGATTAATTTGGCATGTTCACTATCACACGCCTGTTTTGAGTGATTATAGCATCTGTTAAATTTTATAGACTAAGAGGAAGTGAAAAAAACTGCTGTCTACCGATTTTTTTTATATTATCTTTTTAGTTGATTTTATTTTTAGTTTTGAAAACATAAATTATGTGGTATAATTTAATTGGTAAAGTGATTTGTGATTTAGTATATAAGAGATTCTAATATTCTTCAACTTAAATCATGCAGAAAATATTAATAGAAAAATGCTTAGAAAAAGGGAAGCATGAACTTAAATAATCTTTGCTACACTCAATGAAACTGCCAATTCTCAACAAAAATAAAAGGAAGAAGATGAAACTTTCGAGAATAGTGAAAAAATATATAGAAATTTTGTGTGGTTAATTGAGTGTAAGAGATGGAGCAGTTGAGAGTGGAAGTTACTAAAGTCTTCTTAAACGTGTGTGTGAGAAAAATAGGGAGATTTTCTTTGGCAGAAATATTTAAAATAAATATTAGACATATTCCAAGGACACAAAATCTAGTGGCGGATAAGCTCGTACACGGTATCCGGTGTTTCCTTTCTGCTATGTTCTATGTCGACCATATGCCCCCGGCTTAGTTGTCTGATCTAGGAGAGCATAGTTAAAAGTTTTCTTGTTATGTTGTTGTTGTCAAAAAAAAAATTTAAAATAAATAGAATATAGTATAATTTTTATTTTTATTTTGTAAACCATTTACACATGTCACAATTTTATTGGTGAGTGACTTGTGATTTAGTATTTAGGGATATTGTGAGGGATAAAACTCACCTCTTAATTTTAGATCAGGTTAAGATTAGAGAAAAGATAACGTGGGCTGAATCCCGTTTAGAACTTAGAGAATGAATTATGATTGTATTGAAGTTTTTGGTAAAAAGATGATTACAAATGTCACGATTGTGATTACAAAGAATAAAGAAAGTTTTAGAATTCTCGAATGTGTGAAAATGATTCAATCCCCCTTTCTTCCTCATCTTCCTCTCCTTTAAATAGCCTCAGACCGCGTTTAACTGATCCTAGCTTATCTCTGAGATTGCTTCCGTGAGTTGAGGGATTTGCAACGGCTCGACTTTGACCGAATCTTACGCCTCTTACTTTGTATCCTGAGCTGTTTCTCATTAAGTCTCTACGCGGGAAACCGGACCTTTTTTCCGTGACCTCTTTCGTTAGTACTCCCAGAGGTAGCCTCCGTCTCCAAGTCAGCTTCATTCTCCTTTCCTTGAAGTCATAGCCCGTGGCCGGCCTTATTGCGGCCCATCATCAGCTCTTGTTAATTTACCCATCAGCTTCAGCTAACGGGCAATATTTGGGCCCAACAGTTGCCCCCAGCTTTCGAGAGAAGATACTTTTTCTCGGAAGCTAAACCTAGCCGCCAAATCTTAACTTTTTCGCTGAGATAATGATTACTCGTTATCTTTTTTCGAGGATATCCCTCATATAATCCGACGGCTATGATTATATTTAGTGAAATCGACGACTCAGATGAAATGAATTTGAAATAGTTATCCCCCGATTTTCGAGACTTGACGAGATATAAAGCTGTTTACATTAACTGCAACTTTCCCCATCTGCTCCACGTCTCGATTCGGTTTCCCAGGTAACTTCCTCTGGTTCCTTTATTTTACTTTCTCTCGTTGTTATTTATTTTTCATTAAGCTTACGTTCGGGTAGATTTTCTCAATTCTTGCTCCAAGATTTTAGTTTGCTAGTTCGATCTTTCTTTTCTTTTCCGATTTCTTTCATCATTCCTTGTTATGACGGACCAAAAGAAGGTTCTAGAGAAATTGGAATCTCCGCTACTGGTGTTCGACTCATGAGGGTGAAACAAGAAGTAGGAGAGTCAATGAAGAAGGCTGATAAGAAGAAGATGGCTAAGGAATCAATTGCCCAGAGAGTTTCCAAACGAACAAAGAGAACCGGTGGCTCTAGTGGGAGTACTCCCTCCGGATCTCATCCGCCTTCTGTGTTGAAGGGCCAAGAAGCTGTTAACTAGGGGTGGGCGTTCGGGTACCCGTTCGGGTTCGGGTCGGGTATTTCGGATTTTCGGGTATTTCGGTATTGGGGTATAGAACCTGTTTGGGTATTTTTACATATCGGGTCGGGTTCGGATATTTTTAGTTCGGGTTCGGTTATTTCGGGTCGGGTTCAGATATTTAGATTTTGAAAGAAAATTTCAAATTCTTTATTACTTAAGTTTCATGTATTTAAAATTTAACTATTAACTTAACTGTTTTTAAAATGTTTAATAAGTTAGACGATTAATAAGTTTGAAAATAAATTATTGAAAATAAAAATCATTAATTTGGTTGTTATTTTTGAATTTTGGATGCAAATTTTGTTTAAAATAGGAAATAAGAAGCTTAATATGCATTTTAAATGAGTAACAAATTTTTTTTTTTACAATTATATGTATATTATCTGATCTTAAATTATAAAGAACATTAATATAAATATTTGTAATAAAATGAGACAAATAAACTAGGAATAAATAGGTATATATACATATGTTCGGTTATCTTCGGATACCCGTTCGGGTTCGGGTAATACCCGTTCGGGTTCGGATATCCAAACTCTCCTAAATCAATACCCGTTCGGGTATTTTGCTACTTCGGTTCGGATTTCGGTTCGGATATTTCGGGTCGGGTTCGGGTACGAGTTCGGGTATCGGATAAAGTGCCCACCCCTAACCGTAGGGTCCAAGCTCAAGGCCGTAAGGAATTAGCCAGGGTTTGTGAAGACCACGAAACCCCCGAAACGGCTCCAGAGGGCTGGTTCTGTGTTCACGAAAATTATATTTCTAAGAGTCATCTTAAGTTCCCTCTCCCTGATCTTTTGTTAGACCTCCTCGATCATTACCAACTAGCCCTCTCCTAACTCTGTCCCTCTGTTATCCGAGTGAGAAATGGTTTTATCACTAGGTCCAAAGAAGAAGGGGTCGCTGTCGGGATTAATGACCTAATGAGTCTATTCTCGATAAAGGAGAGTGCTTCGAAAGATGGTGGTAGCGGGACCTACTATCTTTCGTGTCGTCCCAGGTTGGGCATTTTCAAGTTCTCTAGCAGCGATGAAGACTGGCGGAAGAAGTATTTCTATGTTAAAATTGACCCTTCGACGGTTCCTGTGGGTCGCGCCCTCAGGACCATTTGGTCTGATGCATCTTGTTAGAACTTTTAGGAATGCATTTACTCATTTTTATTTGTAGTGACCTGATAAATGCCTGATTTTGTTTACAGATATTGAGGATCCTCCTACGCTTATTGGCAAGCTCACCAGAGCTCTCTTTCGAAAGCTGCAGCAAACTCCCTGTACCTGGGCGTCTTATACTACTTCTCGAGTAAGATCGGCCAGATTTCCGGATCGGTATAACGCTTCTTTTCTAAATCCTATCCCGATCGCAGAGTTATAAGGTAATGTGCTTACTTTAATTTTTTTTTATATGTATAAGCTTATTTTTAAGATGTTCGAGTACTAAAGAAATTTATTAACGCAGTTTCCGAAGGTAACTCGGTGGTATCGATTTCGACGGGAGCTAGTACTTTTGGAACTGAGAAGACTCAATCAGCCAAGATGCCTCTCCAGCCGTCGTTCCGATCTAGGGGTAGACCAGCAAAAGCGGCTAGCACCTCACGAGGAAGTGAGAAGAATCAGGGAGGATCTTTCCTCAGTTTTGTGAAGGAGGTTCTTGACGATGGAGCTTCTACTCCGGCTAAGGATGTCAACCCTATTGAAGCGCAGGGAGCTCAAGACATAGTCCCTCGCTTCGATGTTCAGGTCATGGAAATCGATCCTCAGACGATCAAGGAGCCTTCCGAGATTGATCTCCCTAGGAACAAGAGGTCACGGTCTGATCAAGGTGACAGACCTTCCAGATCCTCTTCCTCATCTTCCAGAGGAGGAACCGTAGGTTGGAACTTTGCTCACTCGAAACCTGGATCGATTCTCGACGATCCCTGAGGCTTGGCAACATTGATGAGACATATGAAGAGGACAGGATGTTCCCTTCCCCCGGTTAACAATCTGACTAACAGAGATGAGTTCATCGAGATTGCTCATTACATGGGTCAGGTACGGGGTTTTTAGCCTTTTTTTACTGCTTTTCCTAGGAAGGTACTTATTTTTGCTGTTTTTGTTTCTTTGTAGTTGGCTGGAGCTGTTAACATGGCTCAGCTGAAGTTTGAAGAGACAGTGAGCAATGCCCCCAATGCAGGAGAACTAGCCCAGGTTACTGAGATGGTCAAGGCCACCAAGGTTGAGTGTGATCAAGCCAGAGCTCAGGCTTTAGTACTTCAATCCGAAGTTGAGAGGCTCGGCTGGAAGTCTGACACTCAACAA